GTTATCGCGTCTGGTAGCATTATCCTAACTGGCGTCACCCCCCTTCGGTCATGGGAGACCGCGAACACGGGTGAGGACGTCGCTCCATGAGCTAAAGTTAGGTTGTCCTTGAGTAGTTTTAACTGTTTGCGCAGCTGAAAGAGGACTTTAAGGTCTGGATCGGAATCCAGTTTACCTTTCGATGGGGTGTATTTGTCTGGGTCAGTCAGATACAGTATCATCGATTTAATTGCAGGATCATCCAACTTTTGAAGTTGGATGATGTCTGGGTCAGTTGAAAATGACTTTTCATATTTTAAAAGAACTTGGCGAATGTTGTCTCTTTCTTCATCAGATGTCAGAGTGTCGGCTTGGGCGACCATCTGTTCAATCTGTGATGAGACTGATGAGGGTTCTTGCTCCTTGGGTAGCTCCAACGAATCCTTTTCTGAGTCGTCGGACCTGTCTATGGGTAAGACACCATAGGTTTGAGGTCCTTGGTCGACGTCATTGGTTGAGAAAAGAGCTATGGCCTGTGTTGGTTTCGTGAAACATACTGGCCCAGCTTCTTGACTCGGTACCAGGTTATCTGGGAGTCCTCCCAGAAATGGAATGCCTAGTTCAAAATCATGAAAATCAGGTTCTGAGTGTTCAGCTTGCGATGACTCATCATCGTTTGTGTGTGAGTTTAACCCCCCTTCTTTCGATGAGGGGTTGTTGGAGGCAACCACAGTAATGTCTTGGTGTGTTTCACCGACATCTGTAATGTTGTCATTCGCGCCTTCAGATTTAGTAGCGATCACCTCACTACACAGTGCTCCTGGTTGGTATCCCATTTCAGCGTGTTTCAAGGTTTCTAACAACCTGCGCAGTTTCTCTGTCTCTTCCGAGCTCAGAGGTGTAGGGCCTTGTTTCTGGAACCTTTGTGATCTTATCGCCTCGGTTCGTTTCGTCCGAGGTGGGGGAGGGTTAGGTTCCTCTTCGGACTTCCCCTGATAATATGGGTCCTCTTGGATCCCATATCTTTGCGTCCTACGCATATCCCATTTACGATAATCACGTCCATCCTCTGAAAGAGGAGCTTTTTTGTCCCAGCGTGCACCTTCATGACGCGGTTTGTTAGTTTGAAAATACTGCTTTTTCTCGCCTGTTTTAGGAGGTGGTGTCAATGTACGCCGTCCTTCCATTTCTATGGAGTGGGGTTTAACCTTTATACCAGGAAACACCTCTATGGGCATCTTAGCATGAGAACATGCCTCGAACACATTCACAGCACACTGTTTAATCTCATTGATGGATTTTTCTCTGAAATTTGCCATCATTTGTACTGATATGCGTATGTCAGTGTGGAGATTTTTGCTGAAAACATATTTAAAACCTTCTTCTTCCTCCATTCCGGTTTCATTTCTGTCACCAAAATAAGCTTGGAAGATTCTTTTGTAATAAACTTTTGGATGTTCATTCTTGCCCTGAGTGACCTTGTCAGCAGCTGGGAAACCAGCAGGTCCCGTGCAGGGGTCATACTCTCTGATCAAAGCTTCACACAGAAGGTTGTAATCCTTTCTCGTTGCATCAGGTAGACGCTCGATGAAGGTGAACACCTCTCTGTCTGAAGTGAGCCTTATCAGACTGATCTTATCCTCAACCGTAGCATTAGGATAACCTTTCAATCTGAATTCAAGATCTTTCAGGTACGCTTTTGTTCCAGTTGAACCCATCGGTCCAGGTACAAAGCGTTGTACATATTTTGAGAGTTTTAGCAGAACATCTATTGAAAGAGGAAGTTTCCATGCACTCTGTTGCATGTTTGGTGGAGGAGACCTGTTCAGGTCTGTTCCTACCACTTTAGGTGAGGGTGGAGGTGCAACAACATCTTTCTGAGGTGGTTGTGGGTGACCTGGACTCTGTCCACGGTCTTCTCTGAGTTCCAGACAAACTCGCCCCACGTCAGAACTTTTATTTGTTGCTGTGGTTAGTTTCTCCTCACATGCTTTTAAGCGTTCCTGTGATGTTTGACATTCACTTAGTAAACGCATATATTGTTCCAGTAATATCTCTCTATCCACTCTGCGTTTGTGCAGATCTTTTTTAAGCACATCTATCTCAGTTTTGCAGCGGGAAACTTGTGACACTGTCACAACGTGATCCCGTCTTAATGCAAAGTATGATTCTTTCAGCAACATTGCCATTTTAGCCAGCTTTTCATAGCCTGACATTGTAATTTCTGTAGAGGTCACACTCTCTGCAACCTCCATCAGATTGTCCACTAACTCTTTTGGGTTCATGCTCTCCGCCTGTTTGCCATATGGATGTAAGGATCCTGTCAGCAGCTTCAACGCTTTCTCTAAACAGTCCTTCATCTCATAAGGATCAAAATCTTTTTCTATCACACCTGTCATGGTCATTCACTGTGTAGCACTTTATCTGGTTAAAACAGTTGTTAACTTCAGATATTTTACAGGTAAATATTTGTATTCAAGTGTCATTGAGTTTCACACTATTTTA